TACCTCAGCATTCTGCAGTCTCTTTGTAAATAACATTTTTTATGGGCTGTCTCACCATTTCTTTGAAATTCCCACTAAAATTGTGGCAGAAAATTGGAAATCTTTCACCCCACCCTTGGTCCCAAAGGAAATTCTACCCAATAACTTCTTGTTGTTCATCTGTCTGGGTTCATTTACTTCCTCAGGGTGAGGACTTCATCTTAAAATCTAAACGACAGTATTGTATCCCAGTTTAAGATGCAGACTGGGTGATTGCTTTGTCGGACACAAGCATGACTTTCAGTTTCTGGCTCCTTGCTGTTTTAAATCTCTACCCTACTCCCATTCTGACCTCTCTGTCCTCAGCCTTGCGCAATGTTCCAAAGATATTCAAGTGGGGTTTCAGGAACATCCCCTTGGCTTTCAATTAAACATCTTACAACCCACTAGACTCAACATTGAGTTCCCATTGAACTGTTTCTGTTATTGCTATTTCAGTTCCTCTAGATCTACGTTTTGGGCAAAATTGTACGGAAGTGGTATGGGACATTGAGAACAGATAGTGGGAGAGTATGAGACCCTAGCATTGCCTCTTTTTGGGAAGGCCCACCAAATCTTGTGCATGCAAACACCTAACAGGTGAACAGCTGAACTTCTCCTGGGATGAAATACCCTGTGAGATTAGTGGGTACCCCAGGAGTTCAGACTGGGTAATGATGGTATTTGCCTACTCTCCCAGCATGTGGAACTGGGTGAAGGTTGTTTGAAGTAGTTTTCTGCCACTAGTTCTCCTTGAATTTTGCTTTGTCTTGGTGCTATCTAGGGATTGACGCTAGAGGATTCACCAGTTTAGAGTATCTACATAAAGAGGTACTGTTTTAAGATAACAAAGTTTATTACATGATAGCACCTACTTTTGAGCAAGGATAATTACTGGGACCTGGGACAGATGCAATTGCTGTCTCTAAAAGCAAGAGTTTAACTCCTGGTCTCCCCACATAGAATGGTTGGAACTAATGTAACATGAGCATTAACTCCTTCAGAACCATTGCCTTGTACATGGGGGGAGTTCCACCTAATCTGCCAGTCAGGGGCTAACAGCTTACCCCTAATTAGCTGGTACTACCAGAGGTGGGTAGCTGCTGTTGGTATTGTGCACACCCAGGGCCTTGGATTAAGTACAGGCCCAGTCACAGGGAAATAATCACTCCTGGTACTCTGTGGTTTTTGTTGCCTCCATAGTATTGGGTAGAGGTTTTTTGGACATAGTTTGCAAGGAAGGGAATGGGGGTGCTGGGCACAGGCTAGAGGTTGCTGGTGAGGAGTTGGGGGAGGGGTGTGGTGCAAGGATGGGGATGGCTCTCAGCAGGTAACCCCTCCTCTCAATGTCAGGTCCCTCAATCAGAAATCAATGATCAAACACAGCAGGGTTTACATGCCATTCTCCTTGCCCATCCACCTATCACTGGGTTAAGATATTTGCATCACAACCTATTCAGAGATGCTCTGGAGCAGGTAGGACTTGATATTGCGCCTCCTAGCTCAGGCATAGGGACACTACCACTGTGCCACATCACCCCTCCCACTGAGTTAATGTAAACAACAAGTAAATGAGGTCCTTAAGTGGGCAATAATTGCTCCCTTAACTGAGGGGCTTTTGTGACACACTGATAGTGACCCAGGCCAGAAGTCTTGTGCTCAAATCCTACCTGTCACAGAAGAATGTCATAGCACATTTGCAAACGTTGATTAAAAAAAATAACAACAGCCTTAATTGGTAGTGTGGTGGGGAGGCTCACTACCCCTCCTCTGCTTGATAAAACCGGCGTACCCCCCTCACCCACCAAACATGCATGAGTCAGTGGGCTGTTGGGGAGAATGTAAGTGCACCACATACCACACTTCATTTGTCACATTGAAGTGAGCTGTAATTAACATCATGAAAGCTACGCATTGACAGCTGAAATGATGCCACCTTTTCACTTCTCAAGCCAAGTTAAACTCAAAGCCTGTGAGTTGGATGCCAGCTAAACAATGACATACTTCCCAAACTATTTTACTTGCGGAAACTGTGCTCTAAGCTGGGGTTTCTTTATCATAAGTAATGTGGTTTCCAGTAAGAAACCTGCTGTATTTTACCGGATCTTCAAGGAACAGAGTGTTACTTCGTTCTACTAAACAGCATTGTGTGTGTGTGTGTGTGTGTCTGTGTGTGTGTGTGTGTGTGTGTGTGTGTGTGTGTGTGTGTGTGTCGGGGGTGGGGGGCATCTTCCTTAGCTCTTTTGAACTCTGCTCCAGCAACATTACAAATAGGGGCTGGAGGGTGGGTGGGAGGCCCACTCATGATGTTACAGAAAGAGGAATTTTACACAAAAGCCCTGTTTCTGGATTGCTCTAAGTAACAGACCGACAATCACCAGAGGGGTGGTTTGAATGTACCAAGAGTCAAACAAGAAACCTCTTGGTAATGGTAATGAATTACTGTGTCAATCAGCCAGCTGTCTCTCTCTACATCATCATTCTTCCACTGAAACAGTTGCCAAAGTTTCTACTGCAACAGGAATTTCAAAAAGGGAGAGACAGCCTGCTTTTAACACACTCGAAAAAAGGCCAAATATTGCAGATTCTGGAAAAGTGGACCAAGCACAGAGAATGCTAGAGAAACTCAGCAGGTCTAGCATCATCTCTGGAGAGAGAAACGGAATTGGTGTTTTGGAACAGTGACCTTTCCTTGGAATACTATCGTACACTCATCTCTACTTGGCTTTTTATTGTGGTTAACAGATAGGCAGACCTGGTGGGTGGGGCAAGTGGGTGGGAGTGAGGTTGGGGTGAACACTGTATGACTAGCCGACAATTCCAATATCACACACTGGATTTCAACCACAAAGTTGAATGTTGTACCCAGCAACTCTTTACTTTCTGTTCATGGTAGCAAATTAATTCCGGCTGCTCCCTGCAGAAGGCAAGGGAAGCTAATGATCTGCGGGAATACAGTCATTAAAAAGTAATAGCCCGCATTTCTGTAGCGCCTTTAATGCAATAATGCACCCTGAGGCACTTGACAGGAGCATCACTAAAAAAATGATGACACCTAACCATTGTAAGGAGATGTTCGATCAGACTTGCAGGAGCTGGAGTGAGAAGCCTTGAAGATAGTGTTAAAGGCTAAATGGAATGTAGAGAGGCAGAGAAATGTGGGGAATCCCTGAGCTTGGAACAAAGGTACAGAAAGCATGGGCTCCCACAATGGAGTGATTAAAATCGAAGGTACCCATGAGACCAGAATTAGAGAATTGCAGCAATCTAGGAAGGCTGTGGAACTGAACAGGATTACAGAGATAGAGAGGAATGACTCACGGAAGAATTTGAAAACAAGGATAAGGATTTTAAAATCAAAGTGCTACTCAACCATGAGCCAGTGTAGGTCAGTGAGCAAATGGTTCAAGATGGTACCAACACTAGGTGTATCTTTGCTAGCTCTCTACAGCAGATCTTATTCTCTTCCTTTGTGCACCGCCTGTGCAGCCGTAACCTATATGCCTCACTCTGTCTAAGCACCCTATGATCTGTATGTCCTTATTTGCTAATGATCTGCCTGTACTGCTCGCAAAACAAAGCTTTTCACTGTACTTTGGCAACAATAAATCAAATCAAATCAAATTGGGTGAGATGAATGAGATTTGATATGGGAGAGGACACAGGTGTATTGTGTGCTTTCAAATTTGTGAAGGGAAGGACATGGGGAGTAAACAACATCTTATTTCATGATAAAAATTCCAAGATTTTTGAGTGAATGTTTTGGGGAAAGCCATCAGCAATTCCAGTCCTTGTTCCCCAATCAGTTGCAAACTGGTTGTATTAGATTCCAGACAAGAGGGTCTGCACATCTGTGAGATCACTCTGTCACAGAAATCAGGGCAAAACAGCTGGTTTGCAGAAACAGTCAGAAAACTGGTAGATTGATTGTAATTTTGATTGGATTAAGATATTCACAGTTGTTGTATGATTGTATTTAATAAATCCGATTTTTATTAAAGAGGTTAAAGGACAATGCAGGTGATCTCTGTTGTATTAATGACGTGTTCCTCATCACCACATTATTTATTAACAAATCAAATAATGCCTCTACCGCTGAGTCAGGAGGACTCATGTTCAACTCATACATCTGTGAGAAAGGTTGATTAGAAAATATCCACTACCAAGGCAGTTTATGCTGCAGATACAAAGCATTCAATGTGATCATCACCAACACCATCCAGGACAATGCAGCCCATTTAACTGGCATCACATCCGCAAGCATTCACTCCCTCTATGACTGACGCTCAGTAGCAGCCGTGTGTGCTCTCCACAAGATATGCTACAGAAATTCGCCAAAGATCCTTAGACAGCACCTTCCAAACCCACAACCACTTCCATCTAGAAGGACAAGGGCAGCAGATACACGGAACACCACCTACCTGCAAGTTCCCCTCCAAACCCCTCACCAGCCTGACTTGGAGCTATATTGCCATTCCTTCTGTGTTGCTGTGTCAAAAATCCTGGAACTCCTTCCCTAACAGCACTATGGGACAACCTATGGCACATGGCCTGCAGCAGTTCAAGAAGGCAGCTCACCACTACTTTCTCAAAGGCAACCTCCTCGAGGAGTGGACAATAAATGCTGACCAGCCAGTGATGCCCATGTTCTATGAATAAATAAAGAAAACTTTGGATGGACAGGGCTCATTTCATTTTACCCCATAGACAGTACATTTCCATTGAATTCTTTTGGCACTGAGATTATGCCTTCGTAGCTGAAAGGTTAGCAATCACAGTTGGTGACAATAGCAAAGAATCACTGGATGGCTTTAATTAATGTGAGATTTATTTGTTGATAGTTTTGGGGTAGACATAGCTCATTTTCTGTGTAGCTCTTTATATTCACTTTAAAACTGCAGATGACAAGGGCATGGCACAGAGACGCTGGTGAGCTATCAACTTTCTGATTGTGATTAAGAGGAACATCTCTCAGAGCTTACCTTGCCCACGTACTGTGGCTCTGCCCCAGTGTACTCCTCCAGCAAAAAGAACTGATTCCACATCCAGCCACGTTTGGACCGGTGCAAAACAGAAAGCTTGTCATCCTCAGGCGTCACTGGCACTCCATCCTCTTCCTCAATAGCAGTCCTATTTGACAGGGGGGACATCAGGCTGAGCTCCAACAGGCAGATCCAGAGCAGCATTAGCACACAGCAATTCGATATCGCCATTCTTATTTCAGAACTGGTGACTGCAGAGTCTAACTGGGTTTTGTTGGCTGCTCTCCAGCAACCCGTCAGTAGGTTGTGTATCACTGACTAACCTTTTTGTTCCATTTGTAAACTACTTGGGTCTTCAATCAATCTTCAAGTTCGCTTGGTTTCTGGGGATTTCTAAATTGGGAGAGCAAGAAAAAAAAGAATGATGTTTCAAACTGTGTATTTTTTTTAATTTAAACATCAAATATATAAATTGTGTCATGTACCACTGATGCTTAATTTGAATTGCTAATCTGATTTCACTGATAACATCATATAACTATTATAGATGCCTGTGGAACTCTGTAATGTGTTCATCATCCAGCCCCTTTCTCAACCAATTGCAGAAAAATATGTCTCATTACACAATAAAGCTTCATAATTGAAAATCATAATTACTCGAAAATGCACTGGTGATTATAAAATACCAGGTGCTGTGCAACTAATCCAGGTTAGGTTTAACCAGTTACAATCCTAACCAAGGAAAATAGTGACAATGCAGAAAGAAGCAAGTAAAATGCTTGTTCGATCAGGAACTTGTGAAAAGTGTCACACTATTGAGTGAGATTTGTTCAATAATGGGACAGTGAAGATCCAGGGGTGATTTGATTCAGGTTTTCGAGTTATTGAGTGGAATAGATGGCGTCGTTTGCAAGAAACTATATTCCCTCATTGAGGAATCTAAGAAGCTAGTGATGTCATTTAAGAAATTAGAGTCAGAAATTTAAGGAGAGAAATTAAGGCCATAAGACAAAAAGCTTTTCTTCAGGCAAAGGATGGAAAACATTTTGAACTCTACTCTACGGATGGCAATTGATGGTTAAATGAGATTTTAGTCAACAAATCATATTAAGCAAAGTTGAGAAAATGTAGATTTCTGGGGTCGGGTGGCAAAAATGCTGTGATCTCTTTGAACAGTGGAATAGGCTGGAAGGATTAAATGGCTTTCTGCTGTTACTATGATGTTAGACACATCAGGAACAGAAGCTGAGATGGTTGCAGTTTTAAACTGAACCCGGGGAGCAGTCTCTCGCTTCAGCATGCAACAAGGATATTCCATAAGATATGGGAGCAGAAGTAGGCCATTCAGCCCATTGAGTCTGCTCCACCTCAATCTCTGTTCAATGAGATTACAGTTGATTTAATCATCCTCAACTCCATTTTTCTACCTTTTCCCTATAATCCTTAATTCTCCTTACTGATTAAAAATCTGTCGATCTCAGCCTTGAATATACTTAACAACCCAGCCTTGACAGCCCTCTGTGTTAAAGAATTCTACAGATACACAACCCTCGGAAAAAGAATTCTTCCTTATCTCTGTCTTGAATGTGTGAGCCCTTATTCTGAGATTATGGTCGTGGGCTGTCCTATGAGGGAAGACAGCCTTTCTGCAAGAATTTACCAAGCCCTGTAATAACCTTGTATGTTTCAATAAGGCCGCTTCTGATTTTTCTAAACTCCAACAAGTACAGATCCAATCTACTCAACCACTCCTCATAAGACAGTCCCTCCATGTGTGGTATTAGCCTAGTGGTCCTTCTTTGGACTGCCTCCAATGCCGGGATAACTTTCCTTAGATGAAGGGGCCAAAAACAATTGCAGTCTGACTAGTGCTATGTAGTTTAACAAAACCTCCCTACTTTTATATTCCACTCCCTTTGAAATAAAGGCCAACATTTCATTTGCCTTTGCTATTACCTCCTAAACTTAGATGCTAATGTTTTGTGATTTGCTGTTTAGGAATCCACTGGTTAGGAATCCACTGGATGGATGTATTGAGATGAGATAATTTTGTGATGTAGTGGTGATGTCACTGGACTAGTAATCCATTATACACTGATGCTGATGCTAATGCTTTGGAGTGATGAGTTAGAGTGGCAGCTGGTGGAATTTCTATTTAATTAATAACTAGATCTGGAATTGAAAGCTAGTCTCAGCCATGGTTTTCATGAAACCGGCATCAATGTCATAAAAACACATTTGGTTCAATTATGGCTTCTAATGAGCCAGATGGTTTTAGGGAAAGAAATTTTCCATCCTTACCTGTTTTGCCTATATGTGACTCCAGATCCTCAGCAATAGAGCTGACTTTTAACTGCCTCTTGAAATGACCTAGCAAGATACTTAGTTCAAGGGTAATTAGGGATATGCAACAAATGCTGGCCTTGTCAGTGATGCCTATATCCCATAAAGCATAAAGACAGAATAATTTCCTGAACATAGTTCAGCTCAGTACAGGGCAGAATGGGTCTGCATTCAAGGTCGCTATCAGTATAATCAAGTCTCTACTTTCCAAAGCAATGGAGATCAGGCCAATTTCATGAGTGATCATTATCTGCCTTGACCAACATAGCAGATGGCCCATTGCCCATTTGCAATCTGTCCTCCGGTGCTTCTTCCTCACAATGCAAAGTCAGGCATCAGGAACGTGCAATCACCACTAAATATCTACCTGCCACAGTCTATCTGTACAGGATAGCAGGATGGACATGGATAGGGAGGTGATGTAAATGTATTTAAAGCATTTGCTGTATTCATTAAAAATAAACAGAAGCCTTAAATTAATACAACATCATTAAACTACATTACACAAGTTGTGCTGGCAATGAAATGCTATTTTAATTTCCACATGCAAGACAGGCCCCAGCTCTGTAATGGAATTAAAAGACATGTTTCATTAGTTTCTGTCATGTATTGTCTATTTGTATTGGAACTATAATTCATTAAGTAGAAATTACAGTCACTGTAAAAACTTATTAAAAATTCATTAAATGGTCTTTTTAGTCAATCTCTGGAAAGCAAAAATATACTGCATACTTTCTAATGAATTTCCTGGAATTGAAAATATTAAAACATAGAAAAGATTAACTGCAGTAGGTCATTTGGCCCATCAAACTCACTCCACCATTTAACATGTCAATGGTTAATCATCTATCTCAAAGCCATATTGCCACTCTCTCCCTATACCCTTTGACATCTTCAGCCTGTAGAAGTCTATCTATTTCTTTCTTAAATATGGTCAATGACTTGGCCTCCATAGCCTTTTGTGGTAGAGAATTTAATGAGTTCAGCAGTTTCTGAGTGGGGAGGTTTCTCCTCATCTCAGACCTAAATGACCGACCTCATATACTAAAACCATGACTCCTTGTTCCAAATCCACAGACACAGGAAACACAATCCCTTCATCCAGTCCTTCCAGCCCTGTCAGAATTTTTCTATGTTTCAATGAGATTCCCCACTCATTCTTCTAAACTCCAAGGAATGCAAGCCCAGTCAACCCAATCACTCCTCATGCGATAGTCCTGACATCAGTCTGGTCAACCTTGGCTGCATTTCCTCTATGACCAGTATATCAGTTCTTAGATAAAAAGGTGGACTTTGCACTTTCTCCGCGTGTCTGCATGGGTTTCCTGTCAGTGCTCTGGTTGTGTCCTATAATCTGAAGATGTGCAGGTTAGGCAGATCGACCATGTATTTTTAAGAAGAAAAATGTCCCGTAGTGTCCAGGAACGTACAGGTTAGGCAGGTTAGCCATGGGAAATGCAGGGATGGTGTGGGTCTGTGAGGGATGCTGTTTGGAGCGATGGGATGAATGGTCTCTATCTGCACTGTAGACTAAAAAAGAGACCGAAACTGTACACAAAAGTGTGTTCTCATCAAGGCCCTGTACAGTTACAGTAAGCCTTCTTTACTCCCGTACTCAAACCCTTCTGCAATGAAGGAGCAATCAGCATTTTCTTTTACCCAAACTCAACATCCCTTTATTCCTTTGAAACAAAGGTTGAGCAGAAATCAAGAGTGTGCCCAGATTCTGAATAGAGATCAGAACCAGCAGGACAAGTATTGGTAGATTTTAAAAATAATAGGCTTTAAAATGGACAGCTTGTTTAATTATAAAATTTTTAGATGACGGGTCAGAAAGCAACATATACAAAAGTATCTGGACCATGAAAGTAGATAGCACTCTAAGCAGCTTAGAGTTGAGAAAAAGAGAGATATGAATGGATTAAGTGAATAGGTAAAACTGCAGCAAATGGAATATTGAAGATGAAAAGGTTAGACAAGTTATACCTGCATCCATCTGAATTTAAACGAATGAGAAATGATCTTAATGAAACACGTAAGAACCAGAGGTGACTTGAAGGAGTAGCTATGGAAACAATGGGTCCCCTTGTGGGAGAGGCTAAAATTAGGGGGCACAGTTTAAAAATAAGGTTATTTCCATTTAAGAGAGAAGCAAGGATTTTTTCTCTCTCTGAGGGGCTCATTAATCTGTAGTGGTGGGGTTGATTAGATTGGATGGCTGGTTTGTGATGCAGTGAAATGCTAATAGCATCGATTCAATTCCCACACCAGCTGAGGTTATCGTGAAGGACTCCTTTCTCAACCTCTCGCCCTACCTGAGGCATGGTGAGCCTCAAGTTAAGCCACTAACAGTTGTCTCTCTTTATCTCTCTCTAATGAGGAAACTGTCCTATGGCCAGGTAAGACAATGGTGAATTTACCTTTAATGCGTGGAATTTTGTACCTGAAATGCATCGCAAGCAGGGTGATTGAATATACTTAAGCCTGAATTAAATAGACTCTTGGCTGACAAGGGAATCAAAGGATATAGCAATAGTGAGGAAAGTGAGCTGAGGCCACAATCAGTTCAGCCATGATCTTAACAAATGGCAGTATAAACTCAAAGGGCTGAATGGCCTACTCCTGTTCCTGATTTGCATGTACGTTTACCTACCCGGTAACTTAGCAGGGCAATTAACATTCAAAATGAGGAGTACTATACTGCCTAGAAATGCATTTGAACATGACCAATTTTGCTCTTGAGATCAATGAGGCACTTATGCAATTAAAACAAAACTAGATCGTGGTCCTGCTGGGCTGTGTCTTTCTTTCAGAACGTATTGGCCAATATGTTGGCTTTAAGAAAACTTTTTTTCCAAACTGACTTCCTTTTTTCTCCCCCACACGCCTTTTGATAGCATCGAGGTCAAAATCCATTAGTGTTGCCAGGTCTTGTACAAACCAGCCTCAGGGGCCAGCTCATTCAACTGTGCAACTGGAGCCAAGACCTCAGTTCCATTCATCAGGAGACCTACTGATACTCGCTGCTACAAACCATTTGATTCGCACCT